CGGTTCATTGGGTGTTGGCCCAGATTTGGTGGGCCCAGCTTTCCAACGGGCAAGTACACTTCAGGGATTGACACGTCCCTCTTGGGCTGGAATCCTTCTGAAGTGTTGGCATTGCATAAAACTCTGATGAAGTTCTTGAAGAGCTTTGGATTGCCATTTGAGATTTCTGGTGCCTGAATCATCAAGTAAAGTAAAAGCAATTAATGGTAACAGATTGCACTCATCAAAAGCACTGCTTTTTATGATAATAAAATACCTCATTTCTGTTAAAAAACCAAAAAAAGTATGAAGAAACTTTAAAAAACTCCAAAGTAGTACACATGAGGTACAAAGACCCAAGTAAGGCATTTGTTCTATATGTTTCAATTCACATACAGCAGCAATACGGTAGTTAGTTCTTTTCTGACAAGGGTCATCAAGTAGTTAGAGAATTTGTTCAATACTTGAATTCATAGAAAAGCACTAAGAATCAAAATAATGACATGTAGGGCGTCTATGTTTTTGTTAACAAAACAGCAACAACAAAGATCGGTTCAATCGGTAAGGATCAGACTCTTGTCTTTCAAGGAGATGACTTTCAGGGGCGTGAGTTGGACGTATAGAAGGATCAGACTCATGTCGCACAATGCAATGAGTTAGACTTATTATCTATTTTGGCTTTCGTTACAATTTTGTCATTAAAAAACATTAAAAAAAAAAGTCTTTATAAACTACTATTAATTTGATTATGTGAGACTTTTTAAGTATATTAGAACAATATCTTCCAGGCTAAGCTACAATAAAAAGAGGGCTTAGGCCACACATGGATTGCTAGACCCTCTAACCCTGTTTTGGTACATGGAAAGTTTTCATATTAATTAGGAATCGAAGTTAAAGGAAATTAATAAACACTTTCCCCTGATAGACACCTTTTAATAACAAATCTGTGTCCAGTCATGAGATTCAAAACTAACAATATCTCTTTATGATTAGGAAATGAAATGGCAGGAGTATTTTTAAGAAGGGTACCCAATCATGACAGGAGAGGAGAAAATGGTCAGCACCATGGCTTCTGTTCCAATAAGGATACTTCTCAGCCACAACGCCAATATAATCCTCCACCAAGCGTTGCAAGCGGTCACGGCTATATTCATGTTGAGACTTGATAGGCTTGTAAACATAATGAACCACATTAACCACACTAAAGGGAAAGAAAAATGCGTGTGCCTCATCAGGGTGCCCAGCCTTGAAAGGGCTCCTCTTGTTATTGTCCATTTCATCAATGAATTGACCCTCAATGGCGTATATATCATTCACTGGCCCATAATGCATCAATGGTTGCTCTCCTTCCTCGTAAACCCACACCTTGAATCTCTTCACCATCTCCATGTGGCTCCTGCTTTTCATTTTATTCAACAACACCACATGCATGTTAGTAATAATAATGTAACTAGTTTTTTTCTGCATGCATGTGTAACTTTTCTAGTTCAGTCGGTTGAGCAAAGTGTGTAAGTGTTGTAAACTCCTTGGTAAAGTCTTCAATTCACATGTATAAAAAAAATGTGTTACTTTGAATCAGTGTAAGTAAAAAATATGAAGATATTTCAGAACTTAACTGGTGAAAAGCATAGGGGTTTCTATAAATGGACCCTTTTGGGACAAAGCTCTCTTGGTTCCTTGAATTACTGTTGTTCCGGGAGAGAATTGCTTCTCGGATTGAGGCACGAGCTTGTGCCAAACCTTCTTCAACTTTATCCAAGCTAGTTTTTTTCTGCATGCAACAAAAATTTCTTAGAAAAAGGGATACTGATAGTGTCACGTAGCATATCTATGCATTATAAAAGTTAGGCTCCAAAACCTTGTGCTTAATTTTTGCACACCTTAATGCTATGCTCAAAGCTTCTATATGCAGAGTTAGCCAGAAACTGACCATGGGATTGTACGTGCGTTGTGATGCCTTTTATGCTGGAAAGGGAGAAGTTAGGAAAATCGAAGGAAAGGTGATTTCCCTTGAGTTGAGAGATGAAAATGAAGAGAAGAATGGTGAAAAACAAAGGGAGAAACATAGAGGCTGTGGAGCATCGAAAGAGCACCATGATGGTTCGTAGTTTGAATGAACATTTGCCTTCATCAAATGCCATGAATAGTTATATAATCTACTTTCAACTCAAGTCATGTGAACATGTCTAAGAAGTTGCAGACCTACGTTATTCTAAGACCTTTTCACAAAGTTACAGTATCTGGTGTTTAATTTGTAGTTGAAGGCATGTGGCGTAAACCTTAAAAGCAGCGCATTGTAATCAGAACCTTGCACATCGAACACCATGACATTTATTTGAGTGCAACGTTGTTCAAAAGGAAACGGCATTTTACTTGCCTGAGACAACAAAATTTTGAGCTGAAGCATGTAAATTCCAAGTAATAATACATCAAATTATCACTCGCTAAAAGAAGTGAACTCAAAGGAGACACAGATAATTAATGGAGAAACAGAAAACCTTAGGATTTTTTTTATAAAAAAAAAAAATTCAATGACAGATAATAATGAAGTTTGATCTTGACACTACCTAAATTTCTACTACTTAGCCGATTTTAGTGGTTAGTTAATGCCACAGCTTTTGAAGTTGTTACTTTAGAGAGAATTTTATCTAATAATTACGGCTTGATTCAAAAGTTATTCTCCCAACTTTACAACTGAGAGTATCCGGTCAAAGACTAACCAATACACATGCTTTTTAATCGCAAAATTTGATCATGATGACTTGATTATTTAAAAAGATTTAACTCTTTTAAAATAGTGCAGTTATAATTGTTAATTAGAAAACTAATAATTAAAATTATGATAAAATATACATTATTTATAATAAATGATGGAATTGTTAAAATCTTTTTAATTCGGTTTTAATTAATGATTATACTTGTATTTTATCATATAAAATAGATTTCTTTGTTTTGAAGAAGCTAAATTCATTAGCTAAATTCATTAGTTAATATAGATATTTTTTTAATCTCTAGTTTAAAAGTCTCTTATTGGAATCTAATAAAAATATATTCCTTGTAATTTATTGAAAATAAGTACACTTTTGATTGATACTTTTAGAAATTGAAATTTTGAAAAGTTTGAGTGGTTAAAAAAAATCAAAATCCATCAGGAGAAAAAAACTAAGGTTAAAATTTTATAAAAGTTAAAATATAATCTATATGTAATGTCATAACTGTGAGATTAAAAAAAATACTTATCACATAACAATTGTAAGAAACAAAATGTATATTATATAATTAGACAACTAGATGAAAATTAAAAAATAAAATAAAAGAAAAAGATGTTAGATGCAGAGATGAAAAGGGTTGATATAAACTAATTATAATGGAGTGCATTGATTTGTGTATTTGATTCAGTGTATTAAAAGAAATGATTATTTATTATTATTATTATTTATTTTCTTGTTTGACATTTTGAAAAATAATGTATTATAGTAGTATAAGATTAAGTAGATAGCAGCAATGTGCTCTCCTTTTTCAATTCTCAACGAAAAAGAAAGTAGCTAATATATACTCATACGTGAATACCTAGAATTGTTAAAAAGCGTGAGAGTTCAAATCTGCATAGGATCACAACACAAATTAACTTTGTGAACGCTTTGTGGTTGAACAAAGCCCAAATAATTAGGCCATATTTACCATACAAACGTATTCTGTTTAAGGAGAATATTTAAATTCACTTTTTAGGATTTTTCTCTGACGAGAGAATTTACCAAAAAAAAATTAACTTTTTTTTTATAATCTAATTTAGTTATTATTTATCATAATTATTCTTTATTAAAATATTAATATTTTAATAAATTATCAATTAATAAAATAATTTCGCATTGCAATATAAATTATTGTTATAAATTTAAAATATTATTTATATATTTTAAAATATTTATTTAATATTTATACAAATTTTTTATATAATTTATATATTCAAACATAATATTTATTGATATTTAATTTATTATAAATTTTGATTATATATAATAAAGATGTTTGTGTTTTTACAGGCTAAAGTGTTCAGAAAAAAATTGGAACTATTCGTGTCACGTTTGTAAGTCATTTCTCACATTCATGAGTTTCTCTGCTTGAAATCCAGGGTGTGAGTGAGACCAGAAAGGCTCACGGGCATGAGAGAATCAGAATCCTACGTATAATCCTATATTATATAAGAAATTCAAGAAGACTGTGATGAGTGATGAATGAGTTGTAAAAGCATAGCCTCTTTCAAGACTTGTATTGAATGATCTGATGGTTGAAACCCAACAATGAAACAATAATATTTGTGAGAGAAAGAGAGAAGGAAAGCCATCTTAATTAATCATGATCATGCTATCTGCATATATATATATATAAAAGACACATACATAATCACATCATTGAAGCTTGTCACAGCCATAAGAGTCACGCCACTCGAGCATTTGAAGAGTGGCTGCATAATGCGCCAATGCCCCAGCCACAACCAAAGCATGAAATATTTGATGGCTATGCCCTGCCAAGTCGAACCACCCTGGCTTCCACCTCTCGGGTATCCTCGTCACATAGAACAATGTTCCTGTCAAATAAGACAAGGCCATGCCACTTTCATATGCTAAGGTAATGTTGCGTCTAGGATTGCTCCAATTCACGAAGCATGCATGGATTGCAGGCACGATGCCGAACAGTCCCATTGAACAGAACAACATGGCTCGAAATGCACGGTATTTGCTGGTCGAAAGTGTTGGTGAGAGCATTGTTGCTATTGTGAACAGTCCCATGGCTGTGATCCCCGCAAGGTAGATGATTTGCCAGTGAGGTTCGCATAGGAAAATATAGTATATTTGAGGGAAGAATGATGTGATGATCATCACAACTATTCCTACGTAGTCCAATCGCCAAAGGAACAGGTTTAGGTTGCGTGAGTGGCAGCATAAGAGGTGGCACATGCTGCTTGAGAGGAGGCAGAACATAGAGCCACCTAGGAAAACGAAGAATGGCCACCTTGCTATAACCAGCGCTGTCGATTCAAGTTCGATTGTCAAAGGCGTTTCGTGGTTTAAATCGAAGAGTAATGTTGTTCCCTGCATGTTCTTTCCATGTCAGTCTTGAAAATTTATACTACTAGAGGTTGGTGTGTTTAAGTGACCTTCAGTGCACTTACCATAAACAAATCCTTGATGCTATGAGAAACATTTTTTTCCGAACTTAAAGAAAAAGACCTGCAAAAGGTGTAATATGCAAATTTAGTTGACTTCTGGTAAAATCTACCATAGTGTTAGCTAGGGAGTTCACCTAATATAAATTCCTAACAGCAGAGACTTATGTACAAGACAAAAAAAAGAAGGTAGAAAGTGATTCTAGCTTATGCACTGGATGTTGGACAAAGGAAATTGCTGAGTACCCTTTTTCCAGTTACATTGAGTGTCTATTGCAAATGTCATAAAATCTTTGATGCATCTGAAGCACACTAGAAATTATTATCCTCTGGACTAATCTCTACGTGAGACGATAACCATTTCAATTTACAATTAAAAACTAACATTTCAAATGGAGATTGATTGAAACTATAATGATCTGAAATCATATAATAATTTCTCTAAAGTATTATTAGCAAAAATAAAATAAAATAACATGTATATAATCTTAAATTTGAATCATGTTATCATCATTATAATTTTTATTGATAGAAAATATACTGTTTAAGGAGATTAAATTTAAGAAAATGTTTAATTAACATCACAGAACTGGTTTTTAAAGTATAAAAAATGATAAAAATTTATTAAGAAAAATTCTTTATTACATAAAAAATATAAGCATAATAAAAAATTTCTTTCATAATAAAGTCTTAATGTTGACAAATTTTCTGAGGTTAATTATTTATTTGCAAATCAAACGTGTGCCAAAGAACCATTTCCATCATTGTGCCTGTCTTGAGTGTGAGACGAGTGATACAGCTCTGTTCCAATATTTATAGTAATTTTCAGAATATCTTTTAATTTAAAAATGAGGCGTTTGATAGCATAAAGCAAAAAGATTCCAGTTTTTATTTGTTTATTCTAAAATTAGGAACAGCATCAGGCACTGGCAACACGCTGTCATAACATGTGTTTTCTGTGACATGAAAAACGAGATTGCTAATATAATCTAATCTCTCAGTTTCTGACAGCAAGTAGCTGAGTTTTTCAACACGCAAACACAACCAAAGGAAAACAAACAAACTAGGTTGTAGAAAAACCTGGTAAAATGCTCCACGAGATCCACCACTCGAGGCTTCATCAAATTGGCGAGGGTCAACCCCAGAAACAGAAGAAAGCCAATTAAATGGCTGAAGCAGGACAACCCCAGAAAAGAAAAAATGAGTAAACATAGGAAATAAAACATTGGGTAGGCATATGAAATAAAAAGGAGTAAACTTACGTCCAAACATTTAACGTCTCGTTATGCCAACGAAAGAGGCTGAAGAGGGCATGTTTGAAGGGCCAATTGGCCCTGTAATAACGCAGAATGTATTCATTATCCTTCATGTATTCGGGAAGCTCCCAAAAGGAGAGAAGAGGGTAGCGTTTGGGCCTGTTCCGATGAGAGTGTGACATGTTGTTGTTGTTATCCTTGGAGTGTGAAAAAGACAAGGTTTCATCGGTTTCTTTGGGTTTGCGCTTCACCACGCACTTGGTCTCGGTGTAGTTCATGGTTGGGTTGGGTTGAGAAGAAATGAAATGGTAATATAAATGCTAGATAGAGAGCATTTATCTCTCTCCCTCTCTGACTTTCTCTATGGTTGCGTTTGCGTGGCTAATTGTTGATGCAGTAATGGAGGCTGCACAACTGCACCAACTGCAGCATTTAAGGACCCTTTTTCCGTAACCTTGGCACTATTATGTGGGGTTTGTTAAATCTCGCACATTCTAATATTTTTCAATTTCATTTCTCAAACTCTCAAGTCAATATCTATGATCGGAAACTTAGCTCACTTATAAATCTACCAACCTTTTTTTTCTATCGTGTGGACTACAGCTATCGTTTCTTTTTATTAAATAATCGGAATGAATCATAAATATTGAATTTTATGACTATTAATGTTCCTTTGACGGAAAAGACTATTTATGAATCGGAAGGAGAATGACTCGTTTTTTTATTTATTTATTACTTTTTTATCTTTTTCATTCACGGGCCACGGATGCATGCCTAAAAAAATACTAGACCCTTCTTTTCACTCCATTCATTTATCACAACGTCGATCATAATACTCATCAAACTTGTAATACAATGCTCATGATCATAATGGTAAGACTTCATTTATTTAAAACATAAATTTCATGTACCAAATTTAATTAATTACAACAATTTTAATTATTTATTGTTATAAATAAACATAGTGTTCACACTTTATTCTCTAAGGTGTAGACTTCACTTTAGAGAGGTCCATTCCTTTAATCAATGTAACATGTGGGTATTTTTTTTATATTTTTATGAATTAACGATTATTTGTAAGAAAATTAAAATGATCAAGTATAAAAGATTATGTACTTTAAAATTTAATAAAAGCATTCAAAGGATAACTAGTATTTGTGCACAAGTATTTGATTTAGAATATGTTTTATAAAATAATAAATATATTAAAATAAATTATTTGGTTTAAATATGTTTTCAATTTCTACAAAATGAACATGTTTTAATTTTGGTCTCAATAAAAAGAATTTTATTTTTTTATTTTTCTAAAATTTGAAACTATAATTTTAGTGTTTATTATTATGTGACAATTTTTAATTACTTATATGTTCATTAAAAGATCATATGAGTATGACCATCTTAAATAATACTTACAATTGTCTATGATATTTTATCTATATATGATCCTTCCAATTTTTTTATAAATTCTTAAAATAAGTGTTTTGTATATGCCTTAAAATGGTCATTAAGGATAAAAAATGGTGACTTTAAATTTAGAGAGATGAAAATCAAAGAAAAAATATTTTAGAGAGACCAAAACTAAAATTTGTTTATTTTATAAGAACCAAAAACAATGTTTACAAGTTTTAAATGGATGAAAAATAAAGAAAAAAATTAGAGAGACTAAAATCAAACTCACTCATTTTATAGGGACTAAAATTATATTTAAGTCTAAATTATTTTTATTAGTTTAAATTTTAAAATTATTGTAACAATCCGCCATAGTCCCTACACTCAAAGGAATCGCACAAACTATACTAGTCGACTAAGATAAAATATTAAACTAGATAACAAAATATACACCTATATATAAATGTAATGATAAAACCACATATTTATGTACAAAATGGAATATTATGTATATATAGTTATCCAAAATAATACTACCCTAATGTCAATCAAGCACACCTAACTAGTTACTTCGACACTAGGACAAAACTCCAACACCTCCAAAGTGGCCACAACAGCTCCAACCTAATCCTGATCTGCTCCCATACATAGTATGATCATAGCAGTTCATCCACATGAAAACAGAAGGGTAAGTTAGAGTTCAATAAACAACCATACAAACATAAGACTCAACATCAATGCTACTCAATCATCAAATCACCAATCATGAAGTCAAGCACCATACACTTCATCATAACAACAATCATCAACTAATCAACACATGAAAGATATCAGTGCATATCAATCATCTAATGCGTCGTCATGCATTCACCTAGGAGATCTCTCTATCAATAGAGTAATATAAGTGACATTTCATCCTACCGAAATCACCCCAACCATTTTTACGCCCAATACGTCCGCTCAATCACAACAAATCGAGATATCAAATCCCCTCTCAAATTTACTCGGATCACGTCACTTACACTAATGAAAGTTTGGTTCCACCGTTAGGTATAGTACAACTGGGTATAGGCTTACCACGACCTTGACATGCATTACCAAGTCACTTGTGGAGTTTGCCCATCGACTATCTGCAAGGAACCACGCAACCTTCGCATGTATACTTAGTTAAGGGAATAACATTTGACCTCCTACCTTGCTCCAACATTAGTTAAGAACTTAGAGGAGACTCACCTCAGCCAAAACCCATTCCTAGAGACTTACCTCTCTAAGAAGGTTTTCAAATTAGTGATTTATCCAGCATCACTCTCAATAAACTTTATGTAAGCTCTTCAAGATTTAAAATATTTTTTTCTCTAATCAAGTCCTAGGCTAGACACATGTCATAAAGCATCACATGCAATAATGCGTTACATACATGGTCAATTCACCATCCTAATCATCATCATCCTCATATCAACGTACATGCATACCAAATCATGTTAGAATATATGTTTAAACATTCATATATATCATTCTCAAGCATATATATGAATCAATCACTAGTTTACATCATATAACATGTATATGAACCAACTTTACAACATAGCATTGTATAACTTTAAACAATTTTTCAATCCACATGATAACACCTTAAAATATCATAACAAAATCAATTTTCATCATTACATTGCATAACAACTCAAAAATATCATAACAACATGCATCTCCTTTCAACAATTGTCAAAGAAAATAACTCACAAAGATTCATATTCATCCAAATAAGCTCAAACCTATCTCAAAAGAAAGTTAAGAGGACAAGCTACAACTTTTATAAAGACATGAAATTCTAAAAAGATCATCTACTTAGCTAAAAATTTCAAAAATCACAACAGATATAATCAGTATTGACAATTTCACGTCTGTTCACTAAAACAACCATAACTAGAGTTCCAGACCTATGTTTTAAATGATTCTAGTGTCATTGGAAAGTTAACATCTAGCGCTACAACTTTTATGAAGACAATAAAGACCTAATTTGGAAAGCACCAAAGTGCTCAACGCTTCCCAAAGCACTCAGTGCTTTGCCTCCAAGGGTTCCCCCTGTCATACAACCCCCAAAGGACTCAACCCTTTTAAATGACTTAGCCCTTTTAAACGACTCAGGCCTTTGGTGATAGAGAGCATCTTTGTTCTTCACCATTTTTGGACCTCCACACATGAAACTTACAAAAATTCAACATGTAATGGAAGAAATAGTACCCATGCACCAAAAAACAACTTAATTCAAGTCTCAAAAACAACATGCAACCATGAAGTTTCCCCAAGATCATCAATTCACCTCACAAGCAACAAAACCTCAAAACCCCCAATATTCAACAAGCAACCCCTTGAATTCATCCCCACAACTACATATTTCAGAGATTTTATTAACAATAAGCTTTTAATTCATTCGATAGTTCAATGATTCAACCAAAATCCAATGTTCTAGCTACCCTTACCTAAATTCGAGACCAGAACAACCAAGAGAAGGAGAAGAAGAAAGGAGAAACCCTCCAACCTCGAAACCATATCACAACGTTCTCAATCACAGCAATTCAATCTCCTAAGCCTGAATTCAAGAGAAGAAAAAAGAGATTGGGGATCTAGGGAAGAAAAGGAATCAAAACAGAGGAGTTTTGGGGAGAATAGAGCTCACGAACCGAGAGCTTTTCTCTCTAAAACTTATCTCTAAACTCTGTTGAGTTTAAAGATAATGGGCTCCAATTCAAAATAAAACCTTAAATACCTTTCTTCCCCTAAGATCACTAAACAACCCCAAACTTGCTCTCAACCTACAGTGTTATAATTATAGGTATATCTTTCTTTTATAATAATAGAAAAATATGATTATATGGCATTTATAAATTAATGCATACAACAATAAATTTAATATATTTTTTATCTAGTTATAATTAATTTTTTAATTTATTAATCGTTTGCTTGTTATTTTTTTTAAAAGAAAAAGTCTTTATAAACAACAATTCTTCCAATTCTAAATATTAAAAGAAAAAATCTTATGTTTATTAATTTCAAATATAAACAAATCACAATTAATTTCATTTCATTTAATGTTACCATATTCAAAATGTCCTTTTATTTAATTGAGATTGTATTTTTAACATTCTTTTTATTTTTTATATCAAGTTTTAAGGAAGGATAATTTAAGAAAATAAGTTAATTTGTTAACAAAATTGAATGATATTAAAATAAATTTCTTAATTAGCATGAAATAAATTATTTTTACTTATATTTAAAACTAAAGTATTATTAGAGAAGAAACAAAATTAAACTGATAAAATATCACTAAAAGAATATTACTTTGATATATTTGTTGTGTCACTTTGATATAGGTATGAAATATTTATAAAATAACGACATCAAATTTAAATTTTTTGTAATGAAAAAACACTTTCTAAGTCATTTAAAAAATTTATATTAAACAAAATAAAAAGAAGAAAGAGAAAAAAAATAACTAATTAGAAAAGGGAGAATTTCATTCTCTTAATTATATATTATAATTTATAATATAAAAATAGATTAAATTCAATGCTGTTTTGAACCGAACTTTAAAAAAAAAAAAACTATCATTGGTAATTTTGTAGACCCATCGAACAAACACTTTTAGTGTAACACTTTTTAATCATGATACAGTTCTCTCTTCTTCTTCTTTTTCGTGAACATGATACAGTAATCATGGTACATTCATATTTAAGCTAGTAATTTTATAAATTTCTCTGGTGTTTACACCTAAATGAATAGTGGAAATAGCAGTTTATAATAAAATTAAAAAGTATTTTATTTTAAAAAGAAGCCAACAATGAAAGAATATAACTCTGCTATAGAAAACATGAATAACTTAATTAATACGATGGAGTAATAATTTAATTAACTCATGAATTATTTATTAGTTACTTTAAAAAATAATAGATTCTCCTTTTAAAAATAAATCTCATGTAGAAGAATAAACCCGGATATTCTATCACAAGTACTTGGGATTGGTTGTTCCACCTACTATATATCTACTATCTACGGTCTTCAAGGCATCATTAGG